CCCCATTTTCCCCCCACTTTTCCCCCTTTTTTCCCCCCTTTTCCCCCCCTTTCCCACCCCTTTTTTCCCGCTCCTTTCCCCCATTCCCGATCCCTCTGGCAGTGAATAATGCAGGAGGCGGCTGGTGGGGGAAGGAGAGGCTCAGGTTGTTCCATTATTGATGAGAGCTGACAGATCCGCTCCTGACAACCTTCCGAGGAGATCTGATTAGCTCTGGGAAAAAATAATAAAAAATAAAAAATAAAAAATAAAAATAAAACTAAAACCACCGCAGCGCCTCGGCTGACGGCAGCTCCCAAAGGAGCGGCGTTCTCGGTGTTCCCGAATTCCGGGGGACTTGGGAAAAAGGTGTTTTTTAGCGGATTTGGGAAAGGTAATTACGCTCAATTAGAGTCACAAGCTCCGAGACGTCAGCTCTCACCCCGCAGACAGCGATAAACGGGGATTTTTCCAGAGGGATCCATGGATTCTTTGGGATGGCAGGAACAGGGAAGGCTCCAGCCCTGCAAGAAAATCAGCGGGAGCTTCGCTCGGTGCCTCCCCCGCCTTCCCATGAATAATTCATCCTCCTCCTTCCCGGGATCTTTGGAGATCCAGGAAGAAATCCTGGAGAAGGGCCCGGGAGGTCGCGGCTGCCAGACCCGAGCCCAATTAACCGATCCCAATTAACACGCGGCCCTGTTCCCTCAGCTCCGGCCTCCCTTTTCCCCGAAAATTCCCCTTTTCCCAAGGTTTTTGGCCAAACCGAGCAGCCCAGGGATGGATTTTGGGGCTCTGTCCTCAACAGGATGAGGGGAGAGGCTGGGTGGGCTTGGCTGGGGCTGCTTTGGATGCTCCAAAATCCGGCTTTTAATGGGAATATCTGAATTGCCCCAAACCCTTCCCCACACCAGGGGACAACATCCCAAATATCCGCCTGGAGCCGGTGCTGGATCCCAGCAGGGATGGGCACAGGGATCCCAGCCGTGCCCGGGGGCGTCATTCCCGCGTTCCCATCCCATCCTTTCCAGGGATACTCAAACCACTTTGGGATCCTCCAGCTGCGAGCAGCCCTGGAGGGTTTTGGGGGAGCCATCCCCTCCAGCACGGGAATTCCCGGGAATTTCAGCACCCCAGCCCGAGCCTCAACACCTCAGGGATGGTGGAGAACCTGCCCCGAGGGGGCTCGGAGGTTTCTCCCCACCCTAAAACCCCGGGGCACGGCTGCTGGGGATGGGCAACTCCTTTGGGATGAGGTTTGGGAAGCTGAGGACATCAGGAATGGATTCCTGAGCTTCCAGGAATTTTTCTGGGATGTTCCCAATGGGGAGAAGGACCTGGATTGGGATCCCTTGGAATTCCCTCGGAAGCGGAGCCATTCCCCAGGCTCCCGCCTTTCCCCCCCAGCCACGGCTCAGCTTTTGTCGTCTCGGGGACAAGAATTCCCTGAAATCTTTGGAATTCAGGCCAGCGCCTTTCCAGGGGGGAGGACGCGGCCCCACCGCGCCTCAGTTTCCCCGCGGTGACTCCTGATCTCCGCCGCATCCCTTAGGAATGACAACTCCCACCCCGAACTTCTCCCTCCTTTTCATTCCTTCCTTCACCCCTCTCCTCGCGCCCACAGCCGAACTCCAGCCTGGATTTCCTCCCCACACAGGATTTTCCTCCCCCCCCCCCTTTTCCCGACTCCCCCGGCTCCTTTTCCACCAGCTCCTCATTCCAGGGCGGCCTCCGAGGGACCCCACAAGCTCCGGGGCTCTTTCCCGTCAGCCCTCGTTAGGCAGCGAGCGGCGAACGAGGCCCGCTGAATTAATTAATCACTGAGTGAATTAATCACCCCATCAAGCCGCCGAATTCGTCACCCCGGCCGCGCCGCGGAGCAGCTGCTGGGCGCTCCCGGCTGCTGCTCCCTCCCTTTTCCGGGAGCACCGAGGGATCGGGAGCTTTTGCTGGGAAAAACAATTGGTTTTTTTTTTATTTTTTCCTTTTTTTTTCCCCTCTCGCTAAGCTTTTTAAACCCCTCAAAAGAGAAGCGGCTGCTCGGGGATGTTTTTCCTGCTTTTCCGCTCTCTCCCGAGCCTCTCTCTGAGTTTCCCAGGCCAACAGAGGCTGCACCTTTCCCTGGAGCCCGGCCCATCCCAAACATTGGCGGCTCCTCCTGCCAGCTCTCAAAGTCACCTTGTCCCGGACCCTCCGAGCTCTCCCGGCAAATCATTAATCGGCTCCTCGGCATTCACGCATGGAAAAATGTCCCAGCGGGTGCCCCCGGGCTGGCACTCGGACATGCAGCTCCCCGGGAAGCTGCTCCTGTCGGCGGCCGCGCTGCTGCTCCTGTCCCTGGCCTTCAGGTTTTACAGGAACCGCTCTTCTCCCCCGGGAAAAATCCCGCCGGGAGAGCAGCTGGAAAAGAGGGATGGAGATGGGGATGGGGGCGTGAGGAGGAGGAGGAGGAGGAGGAAGGATGGGGATGGCCTCGGGGTGCGGCACGCGGCTCGCTGTGGGGAGCGGAGTTTTCCAAGGAGTGAGGAGGAGGAGGAGGAGGAGGAGGAAGGAGAGGAGGAGGGTTGGGAGCTGGGCTTGATTCCCAGGAAAGCCCCGCGAGGTTCGGCCGGGATGGGAAGGGAGTTGGGAAGGGAATTGGGATGGGATTTGGGAGCTAAATCAGAAAGAGAAGCAGGGGTTGAGCTGGGGGGTGATCCCGGGAGCGGGATGGGAAGGGGGCTGGGAAAAGGACCGGGAAGCGAGTCGGGAAAAGGGCCGGGAAGAGAGCTGGGAATCAAGCTGGGAATCAAGCCGAGAAACAATCCAGGAAGAAAGCCAGGAAGCAAACTGGCCACGAAGCCAGGAAATGAGTCGGGAAGTGAGCAGGAAAAAGAGCCGGGAATGGAGCTGGGAAATAAATTGGGATTTAAGTCAGGAACGGAGCTGAGAAGTGAGCAGGGAAGAGAACCAGAAAGCGAGCCGGGAATTTTGCTGGGAAGTGAGCTGGGAGGCAAGGCAGGAATCGAGGTGGGAGGTGAGCTGGGAATTTCGCCGGGAAGGGAGCCGGGAATTTCGCCGGGAAGCGAGCTGGGCTCTGACGGCCCCGAGGAGGGGGACGGAGCTGCCCCGAGCTCTGGGCGCTCCCCGGGGCCTGGCGATGCCCGGACAGAGGGGGATGGATGTGCCCAGAGCACGGAGCAGGCTCCGGCTGGAGCCGGGAGGAGCAGCAAGGGCAGCACGGGGACCGTCCGGACCCTCAGCGTCACCTCCAACCTGGGGCTGCTGCTGACGGCGAGCGAGGCGGGCTCGGACACCTCCTACCGCTTCTCCTCGGTGGCCAAGATCCAGGTGGAGGAGAACTTCATCCCGGAGCGCCGGGACAAGGACGGGGACAGGCCTGGCCTGCGGGGCAAAGTCTACGACTACTTCGTGCAGTCCATCTCCGAGTCGGTGTCCAGGAGAACCTCACTGCCCTTCGTCCCTGCCGGGACCTCCCGGGGCCGGGCAGAGCCGCAGAGCTCCGGAACCCACGCGGAGAACCCAGCCTTGGAAATTCCTGATCCCAACACCCCCGCGGCTCCGCAGGAGGGCACGGAGAGCCCTCCCCAGCAACCTTCTCCCGGCACCCCCGGCATCTCCTCCGAGCTCCCGCTGCCCTTCGGGGCTCCTGAGCCGTCCCGAGAGCCGCAGCCCGGCCGGGTTCACCTGGGGAACTGCTCCGAGGTTCTGCGCTCGGCCAAGGCGCGGCAGCTGCGGGCCCTGCAGGACTCGGCGCTGCAGGTGATGAGCCAGCACCTCCTGCAAGTGCTGCGCTCCCCGGACATCTACGGCCGCCTCAAGGCCGGCGAGCGGGAGCTGCTCCCGGCGCTGCGGAGCCGCGGGCGGCCGCGCCTGGTGGTGGCCGATGTCCCCCCGGGCCAGCCCGGACACGCCCGCGGCCGCCTCTGCTACTACGACGAGGACGGGGACCGCTGGTGGCAGCTGTGCCAGCTGCCGGCAGAGGTGGCCGGGCGGGGCTGCGCCGTGTGCCCCATGTTCAATTACCTGTTCGTGCTGCCCGCCTGGGAGGGCTCGGGCCGGGCTCGGAGCCCCTCCCGCCGCGTGCTCTGCTACGACCCCCTGAGCGACAGCTGGAGCGACATCTGTCCCCTGCGCCAGGCGCGGCCGCGCTGCCGGCTGGTGGCTCTGGACGGCCACCTCTACGCCATCGGGGGCGAGTGTTTGGCCACGGTGGAGCGCTACGACCCCCGCAGGGACCGCTGGGCCTTCGTCGCCGCCCTGCCCGGGGACACTTTCGCCGTGGCCCACGCTGCCGCCGCGTGCGACGGCGACATTTATGTCACCGGGGGCACCCTGCGCTCGCTGCTGCTGCGCTACGACCCCCGCGGGGACAGCTGGGCCACCGGCCCGGCCTTCGGCGACAAGGACGGGACCGCGGAGCTGGTGAGCGCCCACGGCTTCCTGTACCGCTTCCAGCTGCGGCGCGGCGATGTCGCCGATGTGGCCGTGTCGCGATGCAGCGCCAGCGCGGGGCTGTGGTACCGCTGCTGTGCCAGCCGCCCCCTGGCCGAGCCGGCCGGGCTGAGCTGCGCCGCCCTGGGCGGCCTCATCCACTGCCTGGGCCGGGGTTTCCATCTCCGCTTCCTCGCCGATCCCGTCTCGCCGCGCTTCGGGGCCAAGGAGCTGCGGCCGTTCCCGGAGCCGCACGGGAACCTCCTGCCCGCGGTGCTGGTGCTGCCCGAGGCGGGCGCGGAGCCTCCGCAGCACTGAGGGGACCCCAGGAGAGGGGGAGGCTGGAGGAGGAGCCCCCAGCTGGAGCTGGGCAGCCCAGACTTCCATGGACATGGAGTGGTCCCATTCCCGGATGGAGGGAGGGATTAAACCCTTGGGTCTGGTCTGTTCCCACTGTCCGGGATGGAGGAAGGGATCAAACCCTTGGATTTGGCCTTTTCCCACTGTCCGGTATGGAGGAAGGGATCAAACCCTTGGATTTCATTTGTTCCCATTCCCGGGATGCAGGAAGGGATCAAACCCTTGGGCGCTGCCGGGATCGGAGCCCGGAGGCTGCGGGAAGAGCCGGGAGGAGCTGGGCGCACCCGTTTGCTCAGGGCAGTTTAAACAGGGCCGTGTTTGCTCAGCCAGCAAATCCCGGATCCTCCTTTCCAGAGGGATCATCCCGCTGCTGCCGGGCTGGAATTCCCAAGTCTCTTTTCGGTTTTGGCGGATGTTTCAGCTGAAAAATTCCACGAATCCCAAAATCTCCTCATTTTTTGCCCGTCGTCATTGAACCCCTCGCTCCGGAGCTTCCTCTCGTGTTCCCACACATTCCTGCTTTTCCCACGGCAAATTCCAGCTGTTGGAGCATTCCAGCCCCTTGGAATGTGCAAACCTCTTTTGTCCCCATCCCAAATCCCGGATTTTTGCCCTTTCCCTGTGACCGCTGGAGGGGAGAATTCCCGGCTGGCTGGGAACGAGGCCCTGGAGCCCTTCCAGAGGACATTGGATTGTTTTCCATCCCGGGAAAGCTTTCCCAGATCCCGCCTTTCTCCCGGTTCGTGTTTCACCTTCTCTTTAACCCCTTCCTGCCTCCCGATCCCGCCGATCCCGCATTCCCGAGGGATGAACGCCAAGGACGGGGCGCTCCCTCCCCCGCTCCTGCACTCTCCATGATTAATTTTGGGAAGCATTTGGGAGATTAAAAACGCCCGGGGACATCCCGTTCTCGTTCTGCCTGGGAAGGACACGCGGGAATGGCTTTGGGATGAGGGAAAGGAAAATAAAAGGAAAAGGACAAATCCAAAGCCGCGTTCAGACCCGGAGGTTTCATTCCGTGCCCCCAAATCCCAAAGGTTTGGATCATTCCCTCCCAAATCCCGAGGGTTTGGATCATTCCCTCTCAAATCTCGAAGGTTTGGATCATTCTGTCCCAAATCCCAAAGGTTTGGATCATTCTCTCTTCCCAAATCCCAAAGGTTTGGATCATTCTCTCTTCCCAAATCCCAAAGGTTTGTATCTTTCCCTGATCCCAAATCCAGGAGCTTTGATTTTTTCCCTGCTCCCCCATCCCAAAGATTTGGTTCATTCCCCAATCCCAAATCCCAAAGGTTTTGTCCTTTTACTGGGATGTCCTGGACATTCATGGAAAAGTCGGCATAGCTGCCTCAGTTTCCAGGGAAAAGGGTTGGGAATGTTCATGGCGCATCCCAAAAAACTCCACAACTCCCCCATGGATCCTTCCGGGCGTATCCAAGGATAAACAGCCAGAGGTCACCCTGGATCCTGCGGGAATGGGATTTTCCCTGGAATCCATGGATCCATGGATGGGAACAGGGAGAGCTCCAGGATCCAACAGGGACAGCAGCTGCGCCTCCTGAAAATCCGGGAATCCCTGGAATTGCCGGGCTCACAAATTCTGGGAATCCCTGGAATTCTGGGGGCTCTCCCCATTCCCATCCCTGGATCCAGGGAGAGGGAAAAGTTCCTTCCAGGAGAATTTCTGCAGCTCCAGCAGAATTCCTGGCGCATCCCAGGCGCTCCCGGAGACGGTCCCGTCATTTCTGCTTCCCAGCTTTTTCCCCATCCTGCTTCCTCAGCGCCTTCCCTTCCGCTCTGCTTTCCCTGGATTTGCTCCCGGGAAGCGGAAGCAAAGCTGAGCTGGCTCCATGGGAATTCCAGAGGGAGCTGGGGCTCTGGAAAAGCTCTGGGAAAGGTCAGGGGTTCCCAGGAACTGCTGGATCCCCCTCAACCCATTCCTGGTGCTCCACCCCATTCCTAGAGTTCCATCCCATTCCTGGTGCTCCATCCCATTCCTAGAGTTCCATCCCAATCCCTGGAGCTCCAAACCATTTGGGGAAGGGGATAAAGCATCCCAGGAATTTCCTGAAGATAATCAGGACCCTAAAACAGAATTCGGGATTGTCTCGATCCTGAATTTTGGGATTTCACTGGAAAATTTTGCCGAAAAGGGGGAAAATCCGGGCAAGAGGAGAGGAGGGAAAATCCAGGAGCGCCGGAATCCGCAGGAATTTTCAAATTCAGGAATTTTCAATGGAAGCTGAGCCCAAGGGAGCCTCAAAATCCTCAAATTCCCTTTTCCCAGGTTTTTTTTCCCGGGCGTTGCTGCCATCTAACGGCTCCCGGTTGAAAGCTTGGAAAAACGGGATTTATTCCCCATTTCCCAGCTTTATTCCCAACTTTCAGTATCGCCATTCCTTTGGCTTTTCCAGCGGGATTTTTGGTTTTTTCCTGCTTTATTTCCAGCCGGGATCTTCCCGGGAATTTTATTCCCAGATGACATCCAGGGTTTTTCCAAGATTTATGATAATCCTGAAATCCAGAGGCTTCAGGCAAAGGGACGGGAATGGGAATAACTGTAAATTATAATAGGAAAAAAATTAATATTATTTTTAATTCTAATTCAATTATTAATACTAACTAACCAATTAGTAATTAATCATTATCTCGTTCATATTAATATTATATATTATATTTAAAAATAGAAATTTATAAATATAAAATTTGTGTATATATTTTATATGTCTATATAAAATTATATCTATTATATATGATATAATAGATATATTATATACTATATAATATATAGTATATCTAGTATATACTATATACTATATAATATATAGTATATCTAGGATATAGTATATAATATATAATATATAATATATAATATATTATAATATATTTATGTATTACATTTTATTATATATTATTTATAATATTATCATATTAATGGCATTATTTACTAAAAATAATGGTAAATAACAAAATATATAATATATACTATATACTATATACTATATACTATATACTATATACTATATACTATATTATATATTATATATTATATATTATATATTATATATTATATATTATAATATCTAAATATATTTATATTTTGTATTTATATTTTTATTTATTTCTATTTATTCATATTTTTCATCCATCCCTCCATCCATGCATCCCCATCCATTATCCTTGGGATGGATGATGGACGGATGGATGGATGGATGGATGGATGGATGATGGATAGATTAATGGATGGATGATGGATGGATGATGGATGGATGATGGATGGATGATGGATGATGGATGGATGGATGGA